ATTTTGTTTTTATTATTTACTAAAATGTGTTTTCATAGTTTGTGTTGTCCCTTATGCAATCCATATAATAATACAGATTTATGTTGACATTGTCCAAAACCCCACTTTGCCTAGGGCATTTCCAAACTTTTGGCAGGCACTGGATCATAGTTATTTCTCTCTCCTTATCCACCATCTTGGACACACACGCACGCAGTGCATTATGGGAGTGCCAAATAAGAATGCATGTGCTGCCTTTAAGAATCTTTGCCTAATTTAATTATACTGCTTCCTTGCCTCTTTGGAAGCAGCATAATTAAGATGCTTACCTTTTGGAATGGACAGAAGCCCTGATGCCTTAAATACTGCCTCCATACACATTCACTGGGTTTTGGAAAAGAGAACTAGATTCCCATCATACAAAGCGGCAATACAGGTGGATTTGCGCTTCTAAGCAGTCTGGTGCTTAAAAGAACGCACATCGTGACACCTGGAGTGTGACTGTTTCATAGTCTACCATTCGGTACTCGTTCAAAGCCTCGAGTAGGGCTACAGCCTTCAGGATCTGAGGCTGAACGGATTCCTGTTAAGGAGTATCAAATCTTCAAAGGCACTAATAAGCCCATTACCTCCCGCACATGTGTCCACGGGCGCTCAGCGAAGGACGGCCGCATAGGCAGAATGATGGATTCACAGACTCTGTGGGGCGGCTGGTAGTGTCAGCACATCTTCACTCCAATACACATCTCTGCTTCCTCAGGCTCACGTCCCACACTGCTAACTACAACACACGGCTAGTTTACATTCAAACCCTACACTGGGAAATAAATAAAGAAAGAAGTACTACTACGTAAAAAAAAAACCCTCTAGGGAAAAATGCAGCAGCTCCACCATGAAGATTTGGACATAATGAAAAGTTGGAGCCAAGTTCAGGTTTGTCTGATTTTCTCCGGTGCATATCTTTGAGCCTGCAGATTCAATACGGAAGTCACAGCTTGGATTTAAAGTGGAGTGTAAAAGCGGAGAGCGTAATACCGAGGGCTTAGCACAAGAAAGTGAAAAGTCAAGCCATTTAGACGTTCTGAGGAGTGTAGTGGGGCCATGTCGTGGACGAAACGCAAATTCCTATTGGTGGTGCATTGATGAAGAATCAGCGCAGCCTATACGCCACTGGAGATCTCTCATTGCTCGTCTATGCGCGAAAGCGCAAGATCCATCGGAGCTGTTGGAATGGATGACAAAGCTGGAGGGTTTTATGCATGAGTGGGTGTTAAGAAAGTTCTGGATTACTTCTTGCATTGTAAAATTGTTTCTGCACTACATTGCAAGCCTGTGGCACTGTTTGTGCAGCTGCATCAGAAAGAAATAAAAACAGAGAGAACAAAAGCTTGAGAAAGGCAAGAGATGCCATTAGTTACAGTGCATATTAACTCTCCATAAATGAGGAAATAAGACCAAATGATTATCTGTTAGTCTGCATTTTGGCAAGTCTGAGAATTCAGAGTTAATGAAACAAGACTACAAGTGTGAGAGAATGATGGATATATAGTGAGAAAAAGCCAGAAGATGAAGAAGTGATTTTAGTCTACCAAAATGAGCAGCAGAGGATTGGTAGAAAAAAAATGTATATAAAAAATGAGAGGAAGGGGGGGGAAAAGAAGAAGAAAAAGTGAAATGTTGAAGGAAGACGCTGTATCCGCCCCAAGCACAGCCATCTGTGTATAGATGTGTGAGGCTGTGAGCTCCACACCTGTGAGGAACCACTGGGAAATGAGAGTCTTCTCCAACCCAGCAGCCACCTGGACAGCTAAACAGGTGCTCAGACCAGACAATTAAACTATTACATAAATACAGGCCAACCAATGAGAGGAGATAAGCAGACAGTGACAAGACCTCAGTTCTTCTTACTTACACCTACATTGTAATTGATCAATGTACAAAGCATATTTGATTATTAAAATGTATAAAATTAAGAATTATTTTAAAAGGATATTCCATACAAGTTAGGCTCAGTTGACAGCATACCTGTTATAATTCATCATCATTATCATTTGGCCCAACCTTTTGGAGGATTTAAAATCGGAAATGTGAAGCTTACATTAAATTACATTAGAAAGCTTACATTACATTAGTAAGCATTACATTAATTCTGTTAAAACTTGTGTATTATTTGAGCTATATTTAAAAAAAAATCGTTTTACAGTCATTTTAGATTTCTAGGGCTTATGCCATTGCATTGTCATGGTGGCTAGTATTTTTTATTAAATTTTCATGTCTATTGAGCTCAACTTGAATTGATCACAGAATATTCTTTTCTAATATTCAAGGACAGAAATCCCAGAGAGATAATAGCAGCCTGAGCCCCATGACTTTCTTTAAGCACATTCACATCGTATGTGTTTTTAACATTGTTTTTTTGTTGTTGTTGTTGTTGTTGTTTTTATATACTACTACAGTGTATCCCAAATGTCACAAAAGGATGGGAATAGAAACCTGAAATGCAAAGTCAAAACAGAGCATGTTTTTCTGGATAATCCATACAGAACAACAATAGATTTGTCCTGTGACAAACTTGAAGCGAAATTCAAAACAGTCTGACATTATTAATATTCCATTCCATTAAAGGCCACACTTATTTAAATGAATGTGATAATTTTATCATTTTACATCCATGAATAAACCATCTTCAACCCCATTTCTGCATTCCTACGAGTGCAGTTTGATTATTATGGAACAGAACATGTTGCAGGAATCATGACTTAAAATGAATTCACACTCTAACATATTTCTTGCAGAGGACAGAGATAAGGTATGAACAGACTCATGAGTAATTGCACCTTGGCAAAGTGAAGGAACTTGGGGTCATTTTCATCACAAATTAATTTCTCATTCAGCACGTACTGTGGCTTTATGTCCAAACATTTTAAACTTGGACGTAGTCTTGTTGAAAAAAAAAATGACCAACAGTTTCAGGAGAAATGAGTTGGGTCCTATAGGAATTCAACTTTAAGTAAACACCTAACTTTCTCTCATCTGTGTGGGATGGAACAAGTCTAGCTATTCTTTGATTTCTTGATCTAAAGAAACTACTTTTACAATATGTAACACCTCCACCTCAAATTGTCTTTAGATGGTCCTTGCAAATGGAATAAAGCTGAAACTGCACATGAAACTGTCCACTTATACAAACAGCACTGCATTATGTTCTTGTCATTGGGGCGAATGTCTCAACTACATAAACCCAGAACACTGTAAAGGTTACATTAACATACAGTATTCAGCGCACAGGCAGATATTGTGTTTTGTGATCTGTAATAATTAGCTCCACTCATATTAACTGTAACGCAAGCAAGCCGATGAGAAGCTTCTTGAGAGTATTCTTTCAGTGAGCTTAAAAGACAAAAAAATGCATAAACTGAGGTAAAAGTTGAATGATATCAGCACGTCGAGCATCTCCAGGTATCACATCACCCCAGGGTGCTTCTCTCTGAGCAAGACCTGACCTTCAGTGGGTGAGCGAGATACCACTCAGCACCCCTCTCTGACTGCGTACTCACAAGTTCAGCCTTTTGCAAACGCCCGGAGGGTGGTCCTGGCCTCGCCGGCCCCTCAGCGCAAACTGCCCTTTTACCGAGAGGAAGTGCTGATGCCACTCGTCTTCAGCCAGCAAGTCTGATCTTTACGAACAACCTGTCCTCATGGGGGTACGAAGTGCGGGCTTCCCAAAGAACAATGCTCTGTATCCATTTCCCATGATTAATGGCTAACGGTGGAGTAAATAATTGGATGCACAGGGCCCCGACGCCACACTGTGATGATCTGATAAAGACAACACAACGAGATGTCATCCCTTCATTTAATTAGGGCAATAATAAGAGATTACCTTGAGGCGCAGTGTTCTACAACTCACATTCTAGATTATGTGTTCTGTGACAGGAAAACAATAGCAAAGTCATTCCGGTGTTTGTGTTCCTTTGACTCACTGCACTGTACCGCCATCTGGGGAGAAGGGTAGGGGCGTCTATTAATTGCTTTCCAGTGCAAAACACATCTGTTGAGAGCACGACACGTAATGCCATTGGATCGAATGGCGGTTCCGCTCGAGTCCTTTCTCCCACTGCGCAACAGTGGACCTAAAGAGATCGTATGCCTGCCAATTGTGTGATGACCACTTCATACACTGCGCTCATTGATTCACATTAAGAGCCATCTCTCAGACAGTGCTCTGGTAAATAATTGAGAGAGTCTGCCATCACATAGTGTTCCTCTGAGCTACTGGGACCAAATTAAATTTGAAAATCCCGTCCATGAGAGGGGAGGTTAGACGACTTTCTGGGAGAGCAGGCTGGGGGAACTCTTATTATGAATGAATGAATTAATTAATTAATGAATGAATGAGAGGAGAGGAGAGGAGAGGAGAGGAGAGGAGAGGAGAAAAAAATAATAATATTGGGGAGGGGGAGAGGAAACGGCAAATTATTTTAAGTACTACATTAGACATGATCAGAACAGATTAAGAAAGCAGTCGAGAAACGACAGGATACACACTTTTAGTGGAGGGACTTGAAAGCGAAGGCGTCTGGTCTTGTAGTGGTGGTTGGTATGCTTATTAACATTTCAGAGAAAAGCTGGCTGTCTGAAGTGTTAAAAAAGGATTTCCTATCTATTAGAGCTTAATAGATAGAGAGGGGGAGATGACAGGGCCGGGTTTAAAGTGACTGGTGGATACACTCATTTAGCCGGCCCATGCTATGGGCTACGCTCATTTAATCAGAAATGGGGATCCATACAAACCGGAGGTTAAAAGACTCATTGACAGATTTCCAATTAGCATCTTGAAAGAAATCCGCCAAGATTGCCACGTGCAGACAGGAAAAGGAGGTTTAACTTTTCATTTCACAGTGAGAAGGTGGTAGGAGTTTGCTGAAATGAGTGTTGATATATCAGGTTTCTCATCAGAATGTGGAGAGAATGGAATGGTTAGTGCTGTAGACAAAGTGTGTGAGGAAAGACTGACTGACCTGACGGGGTTGCTGGTCAAGGACACGCGCAGGGACTCCAGGCAGTTGAGCAGTTTGTCTTCGGAGATGCCCGAGCGCAGCTCGTGCACATACTCCTGTGACGAGAGCGTACACTCGTGCTTGCTGTTCCTCAGTCCACCCTGCGGGAACAAGACACATTAAGGGATCAGCCACTGCACCGCTGCGCTTTACACCCTGTTAGGCCTGTCACACGTTAATTACAACATCTGTATTAGACTTGATCATCGCTGGAGTTCATGAGCTTCCTAAGAAAGCTCTCTCTGCTGCTACTTGCAATCTCTGGCTCTGTTTTTCAGCTTTATTTTGACAATAAATGAGCAAAAGCATTGGAATCCATATCATTTGACGACAGGCAGAAAATAGTAGGAGGGGGAAGTAGTTACCAACACCTGATTTGTGGATGAGGCAGCGCCCCTGTGCTCCCAGCTGTATCCCAGTCTCCAGCAGGTGAGAATGATTACTAACACTCCATAACTGCAGACGCACTTCCTCCCTAAATCAGCAGACTGCCCACCCACAACACTGACTGACACAGAGCTACCAGCTAGACTAGTCAGCAGGAGCTGCCTCATGCTAATTCTACACACACAGAGTAATTGGAAATGCTCCCACTGCCTCATGCGAATTCTACAGCACACACACACACACACACACACACACACACACACACAGAGTAATGGGAAATGCTCCCACACACAATATAAAAACAGCAGCATAAAGTGCTTATTAAAATATTATATTTTTGTGCTGATATGGAGAGAATGCTGTTGTTGGGCACTCAATGGCTAAGTTCACACAGCAGCACAAGAATACAGCTGTCGGTCATGTTCGGGAAAAATTGACCAATGGATATAATTTGCTCATATGTTAAAATGAATTCTGACACTGCAGGCCTTTTTTATTATTTAAACCTTATTAAAAACTGTTTAAGTGATTACAGAGACTGTAAATCAGAATCTAATCCAAATGTTTTGCACAGTAAACTGAAAAGAGAAAATAATCATTTGAAAGTGATTACAAGTTAAATAATTATTGTAAGTACACAATGGTTCCTAAAGTTTCTACAAAGTATTCCCTATGGTTCTGTGACCTCTTTAGTTAATATTCACATTAATGACCTAAGAATGACCTAAATCAATATATATTAAATGGGATTAACTTGGTAACATTAATTTAACACATTAAACTTGGTAACATTAATTTAATTTAACATAAAACAAGAAACTAAACAATATAAAAACACAAAATAAAAAAGTAAAATTAAGAATAAAATAAATTCTAAAAAATATACTGTAGTATGCATATGACAATTTTATTCACTGACTGTTTGTGCTGTACATCTCACACACTGCTGTAATACATGCTCTACTCACAATCCCATACTTATGAGAGGTATACAGACAGTAAATCTTTTGCACATACATATGCTACATTTTTTTATTGTCTTATTCCTTTACTTTGTGGTTCAACTTTTTGCTTTGCACAGATGAAGGACTTTAACCAAGCACCGGCATATAAAATAAAACATCATTATGAACAGGAAACTGATAAAATCCTAAGAACAAATCAATTTAGTGACAGGTGGGATGTCCTACCATCCCCTTCTACCTATATAACCAGGCCTAGGTGGATTTATTCACGACACTCGCGCATACAAAAATCAATTTCCGTGCAAGCTGCCAAGCTCGTGGGTTTTTGTGACTACTTTCTTCACTTTCTTGCGTTAGACAGACAGACAGAGTGAAGATTGTCAATCTGTTACCTGCACTGCACCCCTTGAGCAAAAGAATTGAAAGTGTGCCATGCGTTCCACTTTTTATATAACATATTATTCTTATTCTTGTCATTTTACTTGGGTTTCTTTTATTCATATATATTTTTTTCACAGTGGTGTTCTCTGTTATCCAAGTCATCCATGTCTTTCTTTTTCGTTTGAAGCTGTGCACCCCTTGAGCAAAAGAATTGAAAGTGTGCCATGCGTTCCACTTTTTATATAACATATTATTCTTATTCTTGTCATTTTACTTGGGTTTCTTTTATTCTTATATATTTTTTTCACAGTGGTGTTCTCTGTTATCCAAGTCATCCATGTCTTTCTTTTTCTTTTGAAGCTGTTTTCCATCCGTATGTTCTGAAAACAACAACCTGCCAAACGAGGCAGAGGAAAAAGAAGAGGGCGGCGGAGCACAGGGTGGGCTGTCAAAGTCACCCGTGTAGACGGAGGGATGAATTAATGCAAACAGAGAAGTATGTAGGGTAGTATGGAGCGAGTATTAGTGGTTTCTTCCCCGGTACGAATGAGCTTTAATGTCGTCGTCCCAGGATGTGGCTTCCCCAGCAGGCAAGCTGCACTAATAGGCAGTCTTGGAGGAATAAACAGGGCATCTTTTTGACGGAGTCCCATTTCTGCTCTGTCGAGGCACAGCGAAGAAACTCCGACACGGGCGGCAGCGCTGGTTTATATAGCAACAGGAAAATAAATGAGCCATTACTATAGGCAAGTAGGGGGTTGCAATGGGGAGACACTGTACGTGTTGAGTCTGCAGAACGTGTAAACATGGCAGACAGTGCAGTGATTTACTCTGGTGCGATCAGCAGGTGTTAGCATTAGGTTTTAAGCAGTTGTTTAAACGTAGGCGGTGGTTTAGAACGACATGACGGGTCGTTGTTGCAATAAAAGCGGCCTTGATGTTGACTGGCAGCTGTGAATCTGCACTGACCTTGTGTATTCTGGTACCATCATTTGTGTGAATAAGATGTTCAAAAAGAAGCAGTGCTCTGCCTCCTTATAAAAAAAGTGTTATCTAACTACTGTTTAAATTGATGCGAACTCACTTAGTCCATTTTCTCTCTCTCTCTCTCTCTCTCTATATATATATATATATATATATATATATATATCAGAGGATAAGAACAACTCTTTTTTCCCCCCAAACACATCTGAGGCACTCAGGTTGAAGCGATTCGGCTCTTTCTTCTCAGGCAGGTCCTCATACTTGAATTTGTTTTGATCTGGATCCAACTAAAGATCACTCGGTTCATCTGCCTCTATAGTTCAGATGAGGGAATCTGAGGGACCAGATATGACTGGTGTGCTTATACCTGCCTGATAGAAGTAATGGGGTGTGTGTGCAAGAGAGGTTATTACTTCCCTCATTACTGTCTCTAGTAACTGTAGTTGCCCCTGGCTCTTTCCAGACCTGCTGCAGACAGCTATCTCAGATTCACTGAACCACAGGCAGAGCTGCTCTCTGTCTCAATATGAGAGGAACCAAATGATGGCTGCGCAACTATGACTATCTTTAAAATTATTCAGAATATCCTTGGGTTGGAAAAGCAAAAGGTACCTGTAACTTTTCTGTCTGCATAACATGTACTTCTCATTCTTATTGTTAGGGGTTTGTGCAAATCCCTAATACAAAGTATTATACTTTGGAACACTACTCATTCCAGATGCACCAATATTCAGTTGTTGTTGTTTTTTTTCTTTTATATATATTTTTTTCCATTTTATGGCTGATAACCAATTAAGTTATTTAATTAATATAATATTAGTATTATATGTTATTAATACTATTTTGTCTAAATAAATGTAAACAATAAAAACTCAAATCAATTGTTTTAAATGCTGCAAGTACATTTAGACATCAACACAAAGCACAGTATACAAAATATTAATTTTGAGATTTGCCAAAGATTAAATTTAACAGTGTTATAAATTTAGTAGTTTAAAAAAAAAAAAAACTTTAAGTGTGAATGATATCATGGCAAAGGTAATCTAAATTAGAAAAATATATACATATATACAAACAGGCTTTCATTGAGAAAGTGTAACATTAAAATTTGGCAATAACAATATTAAAAATAAACTAATTATGTAATATAATATATTATTGTTAAATATATATTCAATAAAACACTAATGTAATATATCTATATAATATCTAAAAATGTAAAAATAGAGTAAATGAGTATACACAATTAAAATAACCAACACAGGCTATTTTTACCCTATTATTATGCAGAACACCTTAGCAACCACATGACAAAGGCCCTGCCTGAGCACAACGCCCTATAGCATCAACAACACCACTCTAACATTTAGTGTCAATACCCTGAAATACAAAATCCCTTGGATTCTGAGTATTACAAACATATCAAGTTTGCTACAAAAATTAAATAATGAAAAGCAGGGGCAAAAGTGCTCTCTGCATTTCTTTCCTTGACAAAAACAGGCAGAACCCTCAATCTAACCCACTCTAGAAAGAGAGTTTCTGCTTTCACTATCCATTGACCTTTACCACTGGAAACCAAAGACAGGCCATAATATGCTGCTTAATGACCCTGGCCAGCTCAATCCATTGGGATGATATCAACATTACACCAGACCACACTAATCATGCAGACAGCCACATCCACTAGTTCACTGTAATTGGGTTTCTGCTGTTGGCTGAAGAGAACATGGGGGTCTGTGTGCGGGCATAGAAAGAGAGAAAAAGAGAGACAGAGATAAGGAGGAGAGACCGACCAGCAGATGGATCGAGCGCTGGAAATATAAAGAGAAGAAAAAGAGATAGACTTGGAAAGGAAGGGAGAGAGAGGAGAGGAGAGAGAATCAGAGCTCAGTGAAAAGACCAATACAGTCCTTTGACCAAGCCCAAAGTGTTCATCTCCCGAGTCTTATTGAATCCTTATTTGTCAATAACAGCATTTCCTGCCAGAAACAATAGTGCAGGGAACAATTACTCCAGTGAGCCTGTCGATTTCACTTTGGTACTGGGGCACTGGCTGGCTATAAGCGTGTATGTGTGTTTTCTTCCTGACTGTGATACGGCCTTGGCACGATCTGATGTGAGAGAGTGCAACTATCGGAAAAGGAGGGGATGGGCCCGCTGCGTTTCTCTGCACCTCCGCACCATTGATAATGAGACAGCAGTAAACTGACAGGCTGCATGGGGACCAGCCATTGGGCGCCACATGCTGTCACAAACAACTGTTTACTATGATGGGGACAAAAAGGGGTCTTCCTCAAGGGGGCGCTAACTGGTTTTAAAAGTCAAATCCTCCAGTAAGCCACATTCAAATGACTTTTTTTTTTTTTTTTTTTAATCTGAAATGA